AAATATTTAAAATAATACTTTAGCAACATACCAATTATTTGAGTTTTGAATCAACATAGTTTCCTGAAGTGTATGTTATTCTTATATTATCTGTTAAATTACAGTAGTTCTCTTCGAAGAGTTAAAATGGGGGTTTATGCTTTTCCAGTAAATACTTTACAGATAAAATTGTAAATGAATTTGAATATAGTTTTGATGGGCATGTAACAATTTAATAAAGACTATTTTTAAAAGATTAATAAGCTGTGAAGATGGTAGATGATTCATAAACAAAATACAATAAAAGTTCATCTTGTTTCATTTTATTGGCATGCAGTATATTCTCTAACAAAATATTATCTGAAGAAGTTTACGATTTTGTTCATTGAATAATCATAGTTGGATCCAGGATAGACTAAGGAGGAAGCTTTGTAACCTGGGTACATCTTTCCCAGTGAAATTAATTGTATTATTAGACAAACTGCTTCAGCAGCTGGCAAAACAGCAGGAACACGTCGATTCTGCTTCCTTGGTTACAGGGAATGATAGTGTACTTGACCTTCAGAGGAACAGGGTCATGGGGAGGGCATTTTTAAATAATTCTGTCATTTTATCACTGGATTCTTTATAAATGGAGTTCAGATACAACCTTTGGGAGTACAATAAAACTGATGTCTTCAGTTTTCTTCAATTGTTTTGCCCAAAGATCTTTGCTTGGGAAAAATGTAAATAAAACTGCAGAACGATTTGACACTGTAAGTATTGAAGTCTATAGTTTCAAGCGTGAAGCAAATAATTCTGATTACTATAGATTTAAGATTCTTCTTTAAATGAATATATAGAATATATAAGTGGTATTTGTTTATGCATTATTTTAGTAATTTTTTATTAAATAACATTTTACCATAATTTAAAGTGGCAGTAGATTATTAATATTTTTACAAAATGAATGGATTTACAAATCAGGAATATTTTAAGTGTTTAGAAAAGGCTATTATTTTCATACAGTTTTAATCATAATTCTCAGTTATTGGTATATTTTACTGCTTCATATCCTTTATATGATAAGCAATATTCCTTAACACATAATGTTAATTCATACTTTGTAACTATTTTTATAACAGTCACAATAATTATTAACATTGTCTGATAAAATGCATTACTGTGTTTGATTTTCCATTATCGAAGTCAGATTATTACTGCATTCCTTAAGAAGAAGTCTAGTACTAAGCAAACTGTGCTTTCCTATTTCAAAATTGTCTAATGCAAAATGTCTTTTCAAAATTAGTACTTTCTAAAACTACTATTGGCCATAGTGGCTGGGAATGATGAGTGTTTTTCTTAAAACAATCTGGACAGAAGCAGGTTGCCAAAGGCTGTTTTAGACTAAGATATGTAAAGGTGAACTAGTAAGGAAAAAAATGTTTGTTATATTCATCATATTAATGCATGCATATACACACATAATACAAAACTGTTTGAAATTAAAATTTAAAACTGTAAATCCATATATGTGCCTATTTTATTTCAAATGTCAATTGTTTAACAGAACTAGATATATATTATTGCTTGTGGCAAATAATTCTTCAATGGCACATCTGACATTTCTTGTACTTCATGTCCATTTCCAAAATGCCATGCAATTTTCTGAATGAAAAGTATTTGTGCTTTTTAACCATCTTCTGGAGGGGGGAGAAATCACTATTCCTCTATAAGTGGCATCTTGTATGATATATTTGTATCATTGGTCTGTTTCTTTTAATTAAAAATGTTGGCAGTATAACAACAAGAACCAAGCTGAAAAGCTTCAAATAACTTATCTACCCTAAATATCTTAATCTTGTAAACTACCAAGAATCACTGCAAAGCAAGATGGGCAGCAAATAAATAAACATATAAATAAATAACCTTATTTTGTATAAAAATATAGATTATAGTAGACATTTTTGGCTCATTCTGTGATGCTGCCCATCTATTTATAGCTGTAGACTTAAAACATTTTTAGATAGCATTTCATGGAGCATTTTTTGAGGTCGTTGTTAATTGTATTTCTAGTTAAAATAAGTTAGAAAAAGGAACATATTTGTGTTTAAAATAAAAAGACTTTGTTTGGAACTGTGTACAGTACTACAAATAGTCATTGACTTATGACCATAATATAAGGCTAAGCCATCAGTCATAACAACCATAAAGTGGTTCACTCACATGACCCGATTTTATGACCTATTTTTATGGTAGCCATTAAAACAATGCAATTATTATAAAGTCAACACTGTGGTTAAGTACACTGATAATTTGTTACAGGACAGTTTTGCTGAAAACCGGAAGTAAATGCCAGTTTCCAGCAAAACTCATCATGTGATTATGGGACACTGCATACTGCCGTAAATGTGGGCTGCCTGCTAAAGATCTGACGTGATCATGTGGCCATGGGACGAGAGTCTTGGAACTTCAGAAGTTGCTCATAAATACCTTGGGGGACTCTGTCATAACTTCAGACTTAACTTGTGATTTGCTTTTTGGCCATAGTAACTTGTTTTACAATTGTTGTAATCAGTTATAAAATCAAATTGGTCATGTGCTGTCTTGATTTATGAGTGCAACATCTTACAGCCAAAATTCCAGGCTGCATTGTGACTAATGTGTGTTAGTTATTTAGTCTGCAACTTTTTTTATATCTAAATCAAGGTTGACTCAGCCTTCCATCCTTCCAAAGTGGGTAAAACATGCTGACTTTGTAAACCGCTTAGACAGGCCTATAAAGCAAGTGATATTGCTATTGCTATATATAATTGATTTCTTTTTGACATTTATGTGAAAGGATACTAAAATGATTTATCTGAATATTTGAGTTCCATGTATTTATTTATTTTTGAAACACATGATACAGTTTACTTCCAAAAGTAATATACTGTGTGACCCAGAAAGTTCCCGTTACATTTGCTTGCTTGTATTGTAAAATGTATATATAACATTTGAATAAGATATTTTTTAGGCCTTCATGTGAACCTGAAAATAAATTTTGGTAGAATGTCAAGATTGATACATAATATCGAATAATGGACTCATCTAACTGCATGAACTTTAGGCTTTTTCTTTCTGTCTTACATGTAATGCCTTATATTGTTATAGCAAATTGTTTCTTACCATGATACCTTAAGTAGATATAGATGCCACACTATTGAAATATAGCAATAAGTGTGTTAATCCCTAACTATTTCCATCTGAGTTGAACTATTAAATTGACCACATTTATCTATATAAAATAATGTTCCAAATAATATTTTCTTGGAATTCCCCCTTCCTACGATTCTAAGAGACAACTTAGAAGGAAGGAGATTGATGACTAATGTCTCTTAACTTGCCATCTTCTTGGAAATGATAAATATAGTCAGTACTGTAAAATAAAAGGATATTTAAATTAAATAATTCTTATTTTCAAAATAAGAAAGAAAGAACTTATCAGTCTTCTGTAAGGCCTTAAAAACCTGGGCGTCATGATGTGGAGTCAGTACATCGGATAGATCTGACAGCCATCATTATTTATTTATCTTGTATCCTACCTTTATTATTTTTTGCAAATAACTTAGGGTGGCAAATATCCAACATACCTTCTTCCTATTTCCCCTTAACAACAACCCTGTGAAGTAGGTTGGGCCGAGAGAGTGACTGGCCCAAAGTCACCCAGCTGGTGTATCTGGCTAAGATGGGACTTGAACTTATGATCTCCTACTTTCCAACCTGGTGCCTTCAATACTAGACCAAATTGGCTTTCTATATAAATAAATAAATAAAATGTTATCAAGACTTGTCCATAACCTCTATTGTACATGTTACACTATGTTTGGCAAACTGTTCTCTCATTCAAAATATTTATCAAACAGCCTTAGTCTGTCTCATAGGAGACCCTTTATCTTTATGTATACTGTATACGCTGATGGTGCAGTATACTTATAATGCATCCCTACAAGGTTGGTAAAATTAAGAGACAGATTGTTGGTGGCAATATGCCAATAATATTGACATTGTAAACTGCCCAGAGAGGACTATAAAGCATTATGGGGGGGTAATACTTTGCCATCCTCTTTGAAGAAAGACCTGTGCCCCTAGGAAATAGAAACAGTTATACAGGTCCTCTTGAAATTTTTTTTTTTTTTCAGGACATGACATATAGTCAACCAAGATCAGATAGATCACTTGCTTTCTTTTAGCTCAGTAAATATTTGTAGAAGGGTTACCAGATTTCTTATAATTGCTGTTGCTGTAAGACAGTTAATTATATAGCAATCTTGTTAATCTGTTTCCTCTAAGGCGATTTGTATTCCTTTTGGTTTGTTTGCTTGGTTTTAATGCTCTTTATTTGTTCTCCTGATTGCTTTAATACCTGTAGTATTTTAGTTTTATCTTCTGTTTTGTCTTCTGACCATAAACTTAATTTAAAAACAATTCTAATTTTAATAATTATTTAATTATCCATTTATCTTAGCGGTTGCATTGGGCTGTAATATAATGTACTTGATATTTTGGTCTCCTAGGGCATATAACCTCCAAATAGTTTACATTATTATCTTTAAAGAAGATTTCTTTTTAATCAATTCTACTTATATATTTTTAACTATCCTTACCCTCACATCCAAAGATACAGGTAATTGAATCCCATTTCCTGGATTCCCTATGAAGAGAATGGTAATGCATGGAAAACAGTTTTATTAGTGCAATGTGTCTGAAGCTTTTCTTGATGGAAGGTTCTAGGAAAGGATGCAAAAAAAAAAAAAGTCGTGGATACCACATTCAGCATACCAGCTTCTCTTCTGAAGCCCTTAGAGAAGGCATTCTTTGGAATTTGGAGGAAAAATAAGTGCCTTATAACTTGGAGAATCTTGAACATGTACTTTGCTGTACAGTCCCCCAATCAAAAGATTTCAATTACTTAATAAAATGTTTATTAAATTATATATATTAAATTATATTCATTGTACTGTTTTGCCATGTGTAAAGTCTTTTTTCATAAATCATTCTAGGTCCAAACTGTCCAGTCAACCTTATCTGAAACTCCAGTGATGACCAGCCCTTCCCAGCGCATCCAGATAATCTCCACAGACTCCACTGTATCGTCACCGCAGCGTATTCAGGTAGAGATTTGTCTTCTAAATATAGTCTGTTTCATTTCTTTCTGCTTAATATGCAGCATCAAATTTTAGAGTATTATAATATTCTTTTTTCTTTTATGTAATTTATGTAATTTTATAGTCATTTAGTGACAGTGTACAAAGAGCAGATTTATTATGAGAAAGTGTTCTACTACTTGGGAGGTTTTATTTTATTATTGGAACTATGTCTTTGTAAGCATCTCATGAGAGAACCTTCTTTCCTTTTAGTATGCACTGGTGGACAGTACATTTTTGAAGACAGTTTCTTGATTCATTTTGAGTAATCATGTATATATTCAAAATAACCATTGATAGAATCTTTTCATTTTTAATATAGCATTTTTTTTTCTTTTTTGCCTAAGCTGCATCCATCATTTGGTAACAGGAGACACAACATCCTTAAATAATGGCATATAATTCTTAAAAGTGAACTTAGTGTTGTTAAACTTATTTTTTTAATGTATTAAATTTATTCTCACATAATCATGTTTTTCTTTTTGTTATAGATTGTTACAGATCAGCAAACAGGGCAGAAAATTCAAATAGTGACAGCAGTGGATTCATCAGTATCCCCAAAGCAACAATTTATACTTGCTAGTCCAGATGGTACTGGAACAGGGAAAGTAATACTAGCTGCACCTGAGACTTCTAATACCAAGCAACTTATTTTTACCACAGATAATATTGTGCCAGGCAGAATACAGGTATATACCACAGTTAAAGAATAATACATATATTGGATATTCAGACTTAAGAGCATGCAGAAAGATGGCTTATACTTTAATTAGCATGTTTCTGTAGAATTTATATTCTAATCTCCACATCATATTGCTGAAATACTATCAGCTCAACAAAAATCAGATGATCTCAAAACAGAGGCGATGTGATTAAGGTTATATAGATCAACGTTGTCATATTATGCAAACAAGGCAAGGGACAATAGTTTTCATTGTTTTGAGGCAATTAGTAGATGGCTGCCATGTGTATGAATCACTATAACCTTATCATGCTATCAATTACCATGTAAACTTTTAAGCCTTTTCCTTGCTGGCTTGCTATACTGTATTTTAAAATAATTTTTCCATATTTTTCCCCTTTCTGCATGTTCATTTTGCAGTTGAACAACTTTGGCACAGCTGTGTTTAAAAAATTGCAGTATCTTTTAAATATAGTGTTATATAGAAATAATACTCCTTTTAAATGTTTCGTTTTAGATTGTCACTGACTCTGCCTCTGTGGAACGTTTATTGGCTAAAACTGATGTCCAGCGGCCACAGGTAGTAGAGTACTGTGTTGTCTGTGGAGACAAAGCATCAGGTAAGATGCCAAGCTACTTGGTTGAAAAGACACATTTGCTTAAACACTCACACAGTACTAATCTTTCACTGAAAGGCAGGTTTGTTGAAGATAAAAACAATAAACTTTTTTAGTAGCAGTGGGGATTCTTCAAGAAAGTTTTTAAAAAGCCTGACTTAATGTCAATATTGTAATAGTGATATTGTTTATTTTCATAGACTTCCTGGCCCCTATGTGCACATTGTACCCTTTAGTCACATATGCAGTGAGAATATCTTCCAGAGCTCCCAGGGGCAGCATCACAGAAATTGTGTTGCCTAACAATGGAATTTCATGGAGTGTTGAAGGAAGTAAAGTGGTACAACTAAAGAGAGAAGATCTAATTTTTGAAGTATTGGTTTGGCCTCAGAGCAAAAGAATAGAAGATAATGTCCAGGAAGATTTTAGACTGACTCAATCAAATGTTTAATACTTTTGGTTCCATGGAAAATTCATTTGATTTTTTTAAAAATGGACTTAAGTTCAAAGGAAGTAAGGTGAAGAGCACAAGACTCACAATGATTTTGGCTCTGCTCGAAATAGGACAAAAAAAGGATCACTAGACAATGAATACAACAAATGTTCTGAAGAACAAATAGAAGCTTTCATTCATTTTTGTCTTTTTGACTGAACTTTCAGTTGGTTGACTCACTCTAATAAAAACGAGGTAGGGGATTTTCAAATCAAGATGAGGCTATGAATGCAATGCTTCAATGTACTAATTTATTGGGTGCAGATTTCTTCAGAAGGTGAATGCTAACTATCTAGATTTTGAATTGGTCAGTTTGTAGATTTCAGTAATTTGTTTCATTGAAAGTTTTGCAATTGTTTTTGTGCAATTCACAGGAATGTTTCTCCTGATTGAGTTAATGCAAAAGGCACGTAAATAGTGACTTTTTATTAAAACCAACTAGCCACCATATTGTCAGAATAATTTTTCTTCCTTCTGCTTGAGTCATAGCTCTTCAGTTATTTTCCAGAACAAAAGAAACTTGAGAATACTAGGGTAATACTAGTTCAATAAGTATTTATTTTTAAAAAGTTGTACTTGTCAGTGAGCATTTTTTGAAGGAATAGGCAAAGAGCACTGACTTAATTCTTTAAAGCTTCATGGTCAAGAATGAGAAATATTCAGAACTTTTTTCTCCCCGTCCCCAATAAACTGTCTGAGTAAAGATTGTCAAATTTTGCCTTATCATAAACCCTAAAATAATAATTTTGTATGTTGATAAATTTGGACAAGAAATAAATAGTACTTTGAATAATTAAATTATACTCTGTATATCAAATGGAACATTTATACAACAATACAACTTTATAAAATACAACCTTTTATTTAGGACTGAACAATAAAGCAACCATATTTTAAACTATTTATATAATGGTAGGTTAAGCTCAGAGATGGTAATTCAGCAGGTTCTGACTAGTTCTGGAGAACTGGTAGCGGAAATTTTGAGTAGTTCGGAGAACCAGCAAATACCACCTCTGACTAGAGATTTTACAGTATCCTTCCCCTGCCACACCCACCAAGCCAAGTCCACAGAACCGGTAGTAACAAATGTGAATCCCACCACTGGTTAAGCTTGTTTACTTTTATATAATTATTGAAATATGGACAACACTATTTTTGAGATAGCCACTATTATTTTTGCATATTTATTTTGTATTCATATTGTTATTAATAGTAATTAGAGGTAGTCTTTGACTTACAACCACAATTAAGCCCAAAATTTCCATTGCTAAGATGGTTATTAAGTGAATTTTGTCCCATTTTACAAGTCTACTTGTCACGGTTGTTAAGTGAATCACTGCAGTTGTTAAGTTAGTAACACAATTGTGAATCTGGCTTCTGCATTGACTTTGCTTCTCTGAAGGTCGCAATAGGTGATTGTGTGACCCTGGGACACTGCAGCCATCATAAATACATGCCAGTGGCCAAGTGTCCAGGTTTTAATCCCGTGACCATGGGGATGCTGTAATGGTCATAAGTGTGAAAAACAGTCATGTCACTTTTTTCAGTGCTGTTGCAACTTCAAACAGTCATTCAAAGAATGGGTGTACATTGAGGATTACCTGTCTGCATAATTATTTCTTTGCTTCAGCTTTTCAAGGCAAAATTGGAGCATATTTTGCAAGAATCAACTTTGCAGGTACAAGCCATTACACTTGCACAACCAAATCTGGAGCCGTATCAGAATATGCTCCAGACAGGAATAAGTATTGAAAAGATTCTAGTTCTGTTTTCACAAGACTCATAACGTCACAATGGAGTACTGAACAATAAATGTAGTTTAGAGTTAACTGTTGGGTTCTTATTGTTTTCTGAAATTGGTTGTTTTCCTTGCAGACATTTGATTACCAAACTAGGTAACTAACAATCATTATGCGGGACAAACATGTAGAAAATTGGTAGAACCCATAGTGTCATGGTGAAAGATCCTTCATTTCTCAACAAATCCAATCACAATTTCAATTGGGAAACTTGATATTTGAGATGGTCAAATCCAAAGATGCCAGGGATTTCTTGGGTACTTGACACATTGATAAATCAACCATCAAAAAGCAAACTGTATTTACATACAGATATCCTCAACTTACAACCTGCCACTTAGTGACTTTTTAAAGTTACAACAGGCTCCCCTAAAAGGAGCCATTTCTGATGAATGCTCCCCTGCTGTCACATGATCATATGTTGGGCGCTCAGCAACTGGCCTGTATTTACAGCCATTTGCGGAGTACTGCAAATGATTGAATTTTTTATTCATTTATTAATTTACATTTCATATCTATGAACCGCCCATGTCCCTCAAACAGGGACATCAGGCGGCATAAAATAAAACATTAAAATATAAAACTATATGAAAATTACAATGTTAAGGTTTTAAAATTAAAAATTATAAACATTTTTAAGGAGGCATGAATAATTACATCCTGTTAAAAATTAGTTGACAAAGGTAAAGAGAGGTTTCTCATTATACCAACCAATCCCATGGCTGTGTTCTCCTTTGAGCTCCCCACACCAGGGCAAGAGCCGTGTTTTAATTCTTTTTGGGAAGGCCAGGAGAGAGGGCCCGCTTCACCTCTGGGATAAGAATATTCCAAAGGGTGGGGACAATGGCAGAGAAGACTCTCTTCCTGTCAGTGGGAGTTCTTTAACTGATAGGATCTACAACATATCTTCCCTTTCTGATTGTGTGGTACAGGCAAATGTGATGGGACAGAGCTGGTTCCATAAGTAGCCTGGCTCCATGCCATTTTTGCTTAAAACTCTGCACTTACTTCTGGTTTCCAGCAAAAAACGACCATGCCTTACTTAGCAACTGACTAAAAAAAAAACCTCATAAAAATAGTTCCGGTCACATACTGGCCCACTTTATGTATACAGTCATAAATTGAGTTACAAAGTTAAATTGAGGATGGTTGTAACAGTTCAATTTAAAAGATATAATCAAGAAATCCCCCCTAAAGTAGGAAATAGCACCAGATAAGCAATCAAGAAAAACACAGTACCCTAATTAAGGAACCATGAAGGAAGAAGTCACACCTCTATCTCAACTGGCAGGCAGCGTGTCTGCATGTTTTGCTTTAAGTGACAGCATTAACATAACTTTGGCTGATGGCTCTGTTAAAGATTTATAGTTTTTATATCTTGACTACATCATTCTGAGTTATTCACCATTCTGAGTGCTTTCATGGCGACAAACAGATAAGGTGTATGAATGAATGAATGTCATATAGATAGTTATCAAGTTACGACTATTCTTTCAGTTATTATTAAAAGTTATGCTGACGTTGAATGAAAGGACTTATAACCTCAAAGTTCCACCCACTGCAGTGTCCCCACAATCATGTTAACAGAACCTTTCTTTCCCAGCCTCCCTGCGCTTACACTGTGTTATAGCACATCCCCAACTCATGGGCAGCCTATGCTCAGCCACCCCCTTCTTCTGCTTCCTGTTTATTAAAGGGAGGTGGAATTATGTTAGAGTTATGATAACATCTGGGACTACTTGAATTGCTGTTGCTAAGTGATAGGGTGTTATCATATCACTCTTTACAACTATCACTTAGTTACCACAATCCGAGCCCCAGTTGCCATTGTAACTGAAAGACTGACTACGTGGCTTCTAACTGGCATATAAACCAAATATGTCTTAGTTTAATTACTGCACTAATATAAAACAGTGCTGCTATGATGTAGAACCTAAAAAACTCCAGGAAAGCCCTTTGATTTACAAAAATTAAATTTCATAAAAGTGATAAGGTTAAAAGCAAACTGACAGAACCATTGAACAATGAGTATTGCATAAATAAAAATTGTTTTAAAATGTACTTTTTTATTGTAATCATAGTTTCTTAGATTTCCCCCCTCTTTTTTAAGGTCGTCATTATGGTGCTGTCAGTTGTGAAGGATGCAAAGGCTTTTTTAAAAGAAGTGTGAGAAAAAATCTGACATATAGTTGCCGTAGCAACCAGGACTGTATCATCAATAAACACCACAGGAATCGTTGCCAGTTTTGTCGGCTCAAAAAATGCCTTGAGATGGGAATGAAAATGGAATGTGAGTCTACAGTCCATAACATGTTTCTTTTCTATCAAAAAATAAAGGGTAGGAGATTGGTAATTTCTATGATTAAAATTATTTCTACTATTTGATATACTGTTTGCATAGTCCCAGTCAAACTCTGTTTGACCCTAAGCTTTGGCTGAGCTTTACATTTAAATCTTCAAATGTTCAGAGGTTTGTGCTGTAAATGAAACAGTAAAAAACATATAAAGAATGGTTGCTGGAACTGGGTATGTCTAGTCTCATGAAAAGAAGGACTAGGGGTGACATGATAGCAGTGTTCCAATATCTCAGAGGCTGCCACAAAGAAGAGGTAATCAAGCTATTCTCCTACCTGAGGGCAGGACTAGAAGCAATGGGTGAAAACTAATCAAAGAGAGAAGCAACTTAGAACTAAGGAGACATTTCCCGACAGTTAGAACAATTAATCAGTGGAACAACTTGCCTCCAGAAGTTCTGAATTCTCCAACACTGGAAGTTTTTAAGAAGAGATTGGACAACCATTTGTCTGAAGTGAAGGGTTTCCTGCCTAACCAGGGGGTTGGACTAAAAGACCTCCAACTCTATTCTGGCCTTCTAACTCTATTCTATTTCCAAAATGTTTCAGTTGGTATATTGATTGATGGAAATGTGATGCTATTCAAAATCAAAATGATTATTCTGATTTGGGAGAGTTTATATCTTGAACATGGTAGTGTATTTAAAAAAAGATTAATGGACAAGCTGAAAGGATCAATTCTGATAGCAGAACTGGGGAATGTATCTGCAGTACAGGGTAAAATAGAGAGTCTCTAGTGTTAAGTAAATCACTAACATCTTGGTTGTTCAGATCAAGAGCAAAGACAGGATGTGCAATGTCTGACTGGTGCTAAGAAAGTCCATTTGTTTTTGGAAAAGCATCTCTGAAACAACCATGACCTGGATGGTTGAGAATCTCCATAAGACATAAACCCAAATTTGAAGTTTCAGGAGTTCCCTCTACCACACACTTCAGGCACTCGGTAACAGCCACATTTACAGTTGTCTGCAGTGTCCCATGGTCATGTGAATGTGTTTTACAACAGTTTTGCTGAAAACCAGCATTTACTTCCAGTTTTTTTGCAAAACTGTGCCCATAGCAAATCATTGGTTTGCTTAACAACTGCAGATTCATTTCATAACCACAGTGATTCACTTTACAACTGCCGCAAAAAACATCATAAAATTGGACTGGTGATATAACTGACCATTTTCCGACCATCACAAATTACAACTGGGACTACTTGTACTTTTGTCAGTTTCAGCTTACTTTACTATAAATTGGGATTCCCTGGAAAAATGCTGAGTCACCAATACTTTGGTTGTTTCTATATGCCCTTTGAATTTAACTATATTTCATAAATGTCTGTCTAGTGTGATACACTGTTCAAGTTGATTCACAATGGTTCACTAGTTAACTGATATTGATCTTAACATTGATACAAGATTACACTTAATATCATTACTAATTGTTTTAGGATTTCCCCCCTGCATTTAAAATGTTGTATTTGTGCTTTATTGCATACTGAGACTACAAATACATTTGTTGTCTATTTTTGTTGTTAGTATTTTTTATTTCTTCATTTTTTTCTTGGTTGTGTTTTTAAATATCTGTCAAAATCAAATTAAAAAGTTCTAAAAAGCTTAGTGTCATTAGTATAATTATAGAAAACATCCCCAGACAATATAATCCTATGTATCAGAACCACAGGATTAAATAGAGTCAGTATAGACCACACCTTTGGTTAAAATGAAGTTTAAATGTGAATTAATGCTTTTAAGAATCTATGTGTTGCAGAGATTTAAACCTGTGTATTTTTTGTGTTGTGATGTAGCTGTACAGAGTGAAAGGAAGCCTTTTGATGTACAACGTGAGAAGCCAACCAACTGTGCTGCTTCAACAGAAAAAATATATATTAGAAAGGATTTAAGAAGTCCTTTGATAGCAACCCCAACATTTGTTGCAGATAAAGATGGGGCTAGGTAAGTAATGAATGTATCTTTAAAGCCCTTTTAGAGTTAAATATTTAAGTTATAGAAACATATCAATATTTTTCAGGAAATTACTAAATTAAATAGAAGCTAGTTTTATTTCTTTATAAATTGAAACACTATGTTTATTTTACTTATTAATTTTGCCCAACATTAAAACATAGGATAACAAATAATAAGTGAAAAAAACAAAAAAATATTAATGTATGAGAAAGATTTCATTTTCATATACTCGTTTCATTTATTTTCGAACTATTTTCTTGTGTGTATAGGTATAGTATATCCTTGAAATAAGACCATCCACAGATATGTAGACTCTCAAAATTTTCATATCTTATTCTTAAATGGATTTATCCATGATGGTATACAAGATAGATAGATAGATAGATAGATAGATAGATAGATAGATAGATAGATAGATAGATAGATAGATGTTTATTTTCTTAAGTTTTCGCGGGTACTTACATGTATGGCATTCAGCTTTGTTCGGGTATTTTCCCACGTCATTGTAGTTGTGCTTTTAAAGTTGTAGCAACGTTTCGGCAGAATCTCATCTACCATCATCAGGCTTCTGGCAGATGAGATTCTGCCGAAACGTTGCTACAACTTTAAAAGCACAACTACAGTGACGTGGGAAAATACCTGAACAAAGCTGAATACCATACATGTAAGTACCTGCGAAAACTTAAGAAAACAAATATATATATATGTATGTATATATGTATGTATGTATATGTATGTATGTATGTTTATTGGTCTTGGAGTTTGCTGTGTTCTGCTTGATTGGTGTTTCTAATATCTTCTGTCTGTTTTGTAGCTTTTTTTGTCTTGATTGGCTGGCAACATTGTGTTTCCTGCATTGGAGGCTTTTGGTGTGGCTTGGCTCTGAGTAAATGGACAGCTATCATTTATTAGGAAGCTAGGTTTCATCTGGGTGCCTGGTGGGGGTGTGTTTGAGCTGGAGGTATCAGGGGGGATCTGTCTGTGCCCAGGTGTTTGCCTGGCTTGTGGTGTGGAGTTTTTTTTTGTTTGAGAGTGCAGGCTTCCAGATAATTGACAGTCTGGTGGAGTCATCTCTTCTATTCATGCTTTCAGATCTTTTTTCAATCTCTATGGCAGGGGTCCCCCAACCACTGGGCCGCGGACCGGTACCGGTCCGTAGAACATTTTCTACTGGGCCGCCGGTTTGCTGGGTGCCGCCATCTTGTTTTGATGAGAAAGTGCTTCCAGTGAGCTTTTCCGGTTGGAAAGCAGCGTTTGGGTCCTGAAGGAATCCTCGCACCTTAGTTTCATCGAAGGGGGGGGCGGCTTCAAACAAAACTAAGGTGCGAGGATTATTTCAGCACCCAAGGCAAGGCGAGCCGAGCGACCATCCCGAAGCCCATCGACAAAGGTACAAAGGAGCAGTTGAAGGTGGCGGGGAGAAGTGGGGGACGGCTGGCTGGCCGGTCACTCGGCTCGCCTTGCCATGCGTGCTGATGCCGGTACCGGGCCGCGGATCATTTTGTGATGCCGGTACCAGGCCGTGGCACAAAAAAGGTGGGGGCCACTGCTCTATGGCTTCTCTGATGATTCTGTAGCTGGGGTTTTCTATAGTGGCTAGGGTTTTGGTGCCATTGAAGTTGATGCTATGACCTGTAGCTTTCATGTGTTGGACTAGTGAGGAAGTGTGTTCCAGCTTTTTGACTGCATTTTTGTGTTCATCCAGGTGGGTACTTATTCTTCTATTGGTCAGTCCGATGTATGTGGTAGGGCATGATGCACAGGGGACTTCATATATGCCTTGGTTTTCCAGGTCAATTTTATCTTTGGGGTTTCTAAGGATGGCTGCTATTTTTCTGTCTGTTTTAAAGGCAGTCTTGATGTGATGCCTGTGTAGTATCTTACTGATTTTGTCTGTAGTACCTCTTACGTAGGGCAGAACAGCTGTTCCATAGGTCTGTTCATCTTCTAGGTCTCCATTATATCTCAGTGTGTTTTTGTGGATCAGGCCTGTGATTTTGCTTTTGTGGAAGCCATTGGCTGTCAGTAGTTTGGTCAGAGTGCATAGTTCAGTCTTTATGTGTGTCTTGTCTGCCAGGCGTTTGGTTCTGGCAATTAGTGTTTTGGCCACGGAGTTTATCTGTGCTGGGTGGTGGTAGGATTGGGTGTTGAGGTAGCGATTGGTGGTGTGTTTTCTTCTGATATATGCTGTGTCCTAGTGTGCCATCTATTTTTTTGTAGATTAGTACATCTAGGAATGGTAGTTGTTTGTTTCCATTTCCATGGTGAATTTGATTTTTGAGTGTGTGCTGTTTAGGTGTGTTAGGAAATTGTTTAGGTTTTATTTTTCATGGGGCCAAATAACAAATGTGTCGTCGATGTATCTTAGCCATAGTTTGGGTTTGTGGGTGTCATTAGCTAGAGCTCTGGATTCGAATTCTTCCATGAACAGGTTTGCAATGATGGGTGACAGTGGTGATCCCATAGGGGTTCCTTCACTTTGCTGGTATCTTTGTCCTTTGTGTATGAAATATGTGTTGGTTAAGCAGTGTTCTGCTAGTTCCATGAGGTGCTTGGGTGGTTGGTATTTATTTTTGATGATTTCTAGGGTTTCTTTTATTGGGACTTGAGTGAATAGTGAAACCACGTCGAAACTTACAAGAAGATCTTTTTGTTCCATGTGTAGATCTTTGATCATTTCCAAGAGGTGGTATGAGTTTTGTTCATGTGAAGCTGCTGCTTCAGCATGGGGCTGTAGCTGCTTTGCTAGGTATTTGGCTAGGTTTTGTAGTGGTGCTCCTCTGGAGCTGACTATGGTTCTGAGGAGTATGCCTTCTTTGGGTATTTTGGGGAGACCGTATAGTTTGGGGCATCTGGAAGATTTTTCTCTTGGGATGATCTTGGATCTCTTTGCTCATATTGCTGGTTATGATTTTCTTCTTGGTTATTTTTTCCAGATATGTGGTTGGGTCTGTGTTTATGGGTTTGTATGTGGAGTCTTGGAGTAGGTCTGTCAATTTTGTTTCATAGTCTTTTCTATCCATTACTACTGTGGCATTACCTTTATCTGCTAGAAGTATGATTATGCTGCTGTCATTCCTTAGGGCTTGTAGGGCTTTTAGTTCCTCTTTGTGCAAGTTGCTTTTGGGTGGTTTGCTTGTTCATAGGATGTTAGTGACTTGGTGTCTTATTCTATCAGCTTCATCTGTATTTAATTTAGTTAGGCTGGATTCCACTCCACATATGATGGATTCTGTGGGGATTTTTTTGGGTGCTGTAGCATAATTGAAACCTTTGGTTCGGACATCTGTTTCTGTTTGGTGAGTTCTCTGTTGGAAACGTTATATACTAATTTTTTCAGGTGTTGTTGTGAGTTGTTGGGGGGTTTCTTGTCATGTTCTAATTTCTTTAGTTTCTTCAGGAGTTTGTCATTTTGCAAGAGGTTTCAGTTTCAGCTCTCCAAGTTGTAAGTTGTTTTATCTTGTCCCAAAGTAGAGGGTGAATTTTGTTGCTCAATTCCAGGTGTAGGGTTAGGGTTAGTCTTTGTTTAACTGGTCGAGTTGGAATCTCTTTCTGTGGAGCTCATTCCTGAGTAGAGCCATTTCAGTTTTTTTCAGGATACGTTTGGTAGCTGCTGTGCTGTGATGAAATGTTAATTTGAAGCTGGTTGGTGTTGCATTGTTGTCTCTGCAGCTGCATAGGAATTTGAGGTCACATAATATTCCTGCTCTTTTAACTTCCAGATTCTCGTAGGTTTTGGTCTGGCTGTTTATTTCTTCCCCGTAGAGGTCTGATATTTGTTTTCTTAAGTTTTCACGGGTATCTATATGTATGGTATTCAGCTTTGTTCGGATATTTTCCCACGTCGTTATAGTTGTGCTTTTAAAGTTGTAGCAACGTTTCAGCAGAATCTCATCTGCCATCATCAGGCTTCTGTATTGTGTTGCCAGCCAACCAAGACACACAAAAAAAGCCACAAAACAGACAGAAGATATTAGAAACACCAATCAATCAGAACACAGCAAACTCCAAGACCAATAAACACAGACCAAGACTCCCAACCAATCAGGATGAAGAAAAACCCATTCTGGCACAGGAGTAGGCTAGCCCCAAATTTAAAACTGAAACAACTGTAAAAGTCTGACTCATAGACGAACACAATACAGAAGCCTGATGATGGCAGATGAGATTCTGCCGAAACGTTGCTACAACTTTAAAAGCACAACTATAATGACGTGGGAAAATACCCAAACAAAGCTGAATACCATACATACATACGTGTGTGTGTGTGTGTGTGTGTGTGTGTGTGTGTGTATGTGCTTGAAGAGAAAAAAACACTGTATATACTCACAGATAAGCCCATCCAAACCCATTATTTTGGATGTATTTTGGCACCTAATATTCCGGCCTTATCTGCAAGTATATACAATGCAATATCTAAAGTATAAATCGCTAGAGAGAGAGATAAGCCAGCGTTTTTTTTGCTTTTTTTTTGTGAGAACCATGTTAAGACATGAACCTGAAATATATCTATCTACCTTGTGTAAAGTCAATTTAGCCTATGATTTACACTCATAACTAAAACTGATCCGAAGTGTTAAATCAACAATTAATAATGAAATGGGGTTCTATGAATCGTTTTATTGAGGAATTGCATGTGTTTAAAGAGTAGTAAAATAAAAAATTCCTTTCATTAAAAAATATCATACCTTTGACTTTCTGAGTCAGAGATGGAGACAAAAACACATTTATATATTTAAACAATTTATATATCTGCACATTCTATTGCTACAACTTTGGGTAGCAGACAATATATTAAAACCAAAACCAGCAGAACAATTCAAAGTAATGGGGAAAACTACAACAACAATTGTATACCAGGTGCCAGAGATACAAATAAATGATATAATCTTGCATTTGATAGTGAACAAATAAGCAACATATAGACCAATTAGCTGGGCTCATCTAACATTCCAGTCCAAATTCATGAGAAAACAACTACTGTAGCATCCTACAGAAGGCCAAGAAGATTGGGATCTTCTTGAAGGACCAAGAAAGATTGGGAGTTTTCAAATACTTTTCAAGGGCAGTCCTCTGTAATGTGTATTGCAGATGGAAATGACTAGGGCATGAGTGACATTGACCAGGGGCTCTTGATCTAGGATCAGACGCAACTAATACATAGGACATAACTGCAAAAAGGTCCTCCTAGCCACAAATGTATGTGCTTTAAGCAGGAACCATGAGTCTAGGAGGATCCTCACATCTGATACATCTGGGGCAATAAAAGATTGCATATTACTAGAATTGTCAGACCCCAAAACCAAACCCCACTCAACCTTGCCAGGGTTGAAGCGAAGCCTGTTGTTCCCCATCTAGACTCTTGACAGCCTCAGGCAGTGGGATAAGAAATTCATGGCAACGTTTAATTCACCAGGGCAGATATATATATATATAATTGGATATCATCAGCATGTTGATTATACTGTACCCCATAGTAACAGAAATGATTACCTAGTATCTTCAAGTAGAGCTGAATAAGAACAGAAGCCTGCAGCACCCCAATAATAGGGGCCGGGGTGGAATCTTTCCTACCCAATCACTACCAACTGGAATTAAGCTGGAAAAAAGAGATGGACCAGCACAGCACTATACTAAAGGCAGCAGAGCAATCAAATTGGGCAAGGATGAGTATATAACATTCTTCCTGCCTTTGCCAGAGATCATGTGACCAGTGCTTTTTTTCATCTCTTTCCTGTGTCTGAATATCTATCAGAAGGCATCCAGATAATACGCTTCATCCGAGGTCCTCTGAAGCTGCTGCCCAACCACTTTCTCAATGATCTTCCCCAAATAGAGGAGGTTAGGTAGTGGATGAAAATTGTCCAGTATAGGTAGTTTTGTTTAACAACATGGTCACTTAAGAACTGTTAGAAGTCTCAATGGACTCATAAAAAGGTACTTTCAACCCATCCTCAAAGTTATGATCACTCATTTCCTCCACCTCCAATGGTCACATAAGTGCATTTTAGGCACTTGGCAGCTGACTGATATTAGCCCTTGTTGCACAGGCTCATGGTCATGTGACCAAAATTTGTAACTTTTGCTATTTTCCAACAAAAAGCAGCAAAAGAAATACCCATTGGATATTGTAAATTCATTTAATGACCACATGATCTGTTTAACAATTGTATATATGGTTGTAAAATTGAGTGAGGCCATATGACCTGTTTAACAACCATAATTACCACCAAAATTCCAGGCTCAATTTTGGTTATAAGTCAAGGACTGTCTGTATTATGAGGTCTTGAGAAGGGGGTAAAGCAAGGCCTCTTTAAAGGAATGAACCCCTTAGGGGAAAATTGACCATTGCTGGAACCCACTGACAAGAGTGCCCTGCAGGCTGCTTTAACAAGCTAAGAGGGATATGGATCTAAAGAGGATGGATGTGACTGAGTTCACATCCAAAAGATCTGTCCCTGTTTTGCTAGAATTGTTTTCTTAATCCTTCTGCCAGTTCAATATAATTTCTGCAAAAGCAAAACCAGAAAGTATTTTAACCAACAATTTCAGAAATCCCAAAACTATGGATTGCAATGTTATTGTTAATGATGAAACAAAGGAATATTGTGGTCTTTATTAACATAATGTTGTTTTCCTTATCTTTATCCTCTTGAACAGATCAGCCAGTCTTCTGGATTCAGGGATGCTTGTAAATATTCAGCAGCCTTTAATACGGGATGATGGTACAGTGCTACTTGCTACAGATCCCAAGGTAGCCTTCCTTAAATTTAATTGCACAGCTCATGTTTTCCTGCTTTTCCTCATTGCTATCTTATTGTACATGAAGAATTTATATATTAATAGATCATTTCTGCCGAGAAATATATTTGATATTCAGATCCTTGACTGATGTCATTTGGGATTAGAATTTCCATAGCTAAGCAATGTGGTCATAAAGCTTGACCACATTGTGTAGAAATGGCAATCTCTGCTATCCTGGTTGTTGTTAACCAAATCTCATGGCGATTAAGAGAGGCAACTTCCCGCTGGCTTCCCATTCTAGGGAAGCCAGCAGGTAGTTTCAAGTCCCAAGTAGCTAGTTAGCAGTCTAGAGGCAGGCAGCAAGGCTTGGAGGGTTTATGAGAGGGCGAGGGAGGTATGGCAAGACTTGGGGAGAGTGCATAGAGATGTGTGAGGCTGCAAGGCGAAATTGCATACAGGTGCAGTGCAGGTCTGGAGAGGGTGTACACGGATGTATAAGTGGCTGGTAGAACATAAGGGTAGAGGGACTGGAAGATTTAGACCAGTGAATTGCACTGGTCTTGTTGGCTTCTTCACTGAATTTCTGGGTACATTGACAGGGAAAGTTGCCAACAATGACCGCATGATCATGGAGTGCTGCAACTGGTCATTAGTATGACTTGTTTGCCAAGATTGTAGTTATGTGGGTGCAGGGGTGCTGGGACAGTGAGAACTCTGAAGACACTGCCCGCTAAACAAAACAGTCGTAAGTTGAGCACTATTTGTTCAGACAATAGAATAGACTAGCCATGAAAAATAGGTCTGGCTTTATAAACCTCCTGCTATGTATTATATTATTTGGTTGATATTAATTACATTTCCTAGGCCTTTCATTATAATTTTATTCTCTTCTTTTTAATTACTTTCGTATCTGTATTAGGAAACAGGCACAGATTATATTTAAAGAAACTCAATCATTTTATGCAGTGTTACTTTTTTTTTTAGGCTGAAACAAGCCAAGGTGCTTTGGGAACATTAGCAAATGTTGTAACATCACTTGCCAGCCTTAACGAATCTCTTAATAATGGAGATACTTCAGAAATTCCACAAGAAGACCAATCTGCAAGTGAGATTACTAGGTGTGTGCTTCATATTAGAAACTTTTCTAATTGGTCTCTCTGACTATAAAAGTATTTTTTAATTGATTAAACTAAAATAATTAATAATAAATATTGCCCTGTATTTGAAATTCATTCTCATGTTAAACTTAAGAATCAAGCTAACTAATATTTCTTAGCGAAGTTGAATATTGAAAAGTAGTTAAGAAAAACAGTACAAAAACGAAGTGTTGATTGTATGCTATGTAAAAAACTATTTGCCTTCTGGAATTATAATTTCACTTCTTTTTAAATCATCGGCAGCTGATTTTGGTATCCTTGTGCAAAATGTATGATACACATAAGTGTACTTATAGTATTGCAATGTCAAAGAATCCTGTTCACATTTGAATCTATTCCATGTCATTATTTTGCACTCCCTTTTCATTTATCCCCATCAAATAATCATTAAAGTATTTTTATGTGCTTGAAAACCCTGGCAATTTTCCTAAAGCTGCAAATAAATTCCTGTTTGTGGGTTGATGTTATTGATTAATGGACAAGATTTCAGTAGTTTTATTTTATTTCTCACTGATAAATGTAATATAAAAAGCATATGTATGATATATTACTTTTATTTGCAGGGCATTTGATACTTTGGCTAAAGCACTTAATACTACAGATGGTGCCACAGCACAGAATCTAGCTGATGGGATGGATCCTGCGGGTGGTGGAAATATTCATGTCATCAGTAGGGATCAGTCCACTCCGATTATTGAAGTTGAAGGACCTCTCCTTACAGATACTCATGTGACATTTAAGGTCTGGCCTTGGGTTGGTTTATCATTAACTACTTCCTTGTAAACATGAGTTCTCACAATGTATTAAATCAAATCACATTACATTCTTAACTTACTGTTTGAAACCGATCAGTGTTTGCTTATTAAAAGGATAAAATACTACTACCAAATGCTACCATTCTGTAATTTTTTTGAAAAAAATGTTCTCTCTATATAGGTACTGCATTTTAAACTTTTCTGATGTTGAACCATTATATTTAATTACAGGTGGTATTTGACTTACAACCACAATTAAACCCCAAAGTTCTTTTGCTAAGCGAGACATTTGTTAAGTGAATTTTGCCCCATTTTACAACTTTTCTTGCCACAATTGTTAAGTGAATCCCTGCAATTGTTAAGTTAGTAGCACAGTTGTTAAATGAATCTGGCTTCCCCATTGACTTTGCTTGTCAGAAGGTCAAAAAAGGTGATCTATGATCTGGGACACTGCAACTGTCATAAAAATGAATCAATTGCCCAGTGTCTGAATTTTGATCATAAGAAATGGGGTTACTGCAATGGTCATAAGTGTGAAAAATGGTCATAACTCATGTTTTTCAGTGCCATTTTAACTTTGAACGGTCACTAAATGAAGTGTTGTAAGTGAAGGATACCTGTGTTCCACATTATCATTGCAAATTGCGATCCCTAACTACATAGAAATTATTATTTACACTGCAGTTGTTATTTAAAAATTTTAATAATACATGGTAAGAGTTTCAACTACCATTAGAGTGAAAAACATTTTTTTTAATTATCAAAAATATTGATAAAACTATGTGAATGTTTAAAGAGATGTTCATTCAGTATAAAAGAATGCGGGGTTTTTTTAGTCTATATTGATTAATACATCAGTGTTTTTTTTAAATTTATTTGTAATAAACTTTGTGTTGTTCTCTTACAGTTAACCATGCCTAGCCCAATGCCAGAGTATCTGAATGTGCATTACATATGTGAGTCTGCATCACGATTACTTTTTCTTTCCATGCATTGGGCCAGATCCATTCCTGCTTTTCAGGCACTAGGGTAAGAATGTGCTGTCTTTCTCCGTTGATAAATAGACATTGAATGGAATCCACAATATTTAATGATTCTCAAAAATAAAAGTATTCCATTAGCTGTATTAAATGCTGTACCCCAAAATGTCCACTGCTAAGCAAGGCAGTTGTTAAGTGAGTTGTGCCCATTTTATAATGTTTTTGCCAGAGTTGTTAAGTGAATCATATAGTTAATAAGTGAATCGGGCTTCCCCCATTGACTTTGCTTGTCAAAAGCTCCCTAGGAAGGTTGCAAATAACAATCCCAGGACCCTGGGACTTTGCAAACATCATAAATACATATGCCACATAAATATGCCAGTTGCTAAGCATCTGAAGTTTTATCACATAACTGTGGAGATGCTACAAGCTTCATAAGTGTGAGAATCGGTCATAAATCACTTTTTTCAGTGCCATTATAACTTCAAACAAAAGGTTGTGAGTTGAGGACTACCTGTATTGAAGCTGCATTGTCAAGCTTCACATTTTTAGTTGTACAACATATGAAAGCTAGTTGGTAGAATGATTTGTATTGGACTGAACAACTAAAGTCCTGTATTGGTAATTCAGGGAAAACATGCTATGATGAATATAATGAGTTAGACTAGATCATTTTTTTGAAAATTTTCATTTGGCTTTCAACAAAGGAGAACAATTAAACTCAAGTCAAAAAAAGAACAAGAATATACAAAAATTAAACATAAATTACCCAGTAAATAGTTTTTCAAAGCAAAAATTAAATTATATGGAAGTCAATTAATATTATAAAATATTACATAAATCTAGGTGTGCAATTTGAATGATTAAGAAGGATAATTGCAGAAATTAGACCCAAAAACAAAATGCAGGATGTCAATTGCCAAACGGTATCGTTTGATGATATAAAAACTATAAGAAGTAATTCAGTCTGAAAACCTTTTAGCTTCATTCGTAACATTCCCTTCCGAGATCTTTTCTGATAGTATTTCGTTTCTTAAACTTTTCAGAAGAAATAGCATGTTTATCCTACTTAAAATATGTATATATCGGCCACATTCCAATTTTAAATTATTAATAAACACCATTGTGTTCATAACTGCATATACTTGTACGTACTACCGTATGAATGTATTTTGACTTGTAGATAGTGATCCCAAATTGTATAGCATATCTTGAACATGTTAGGACTAAAACTGGGTTTTGATGATGCTGGCCAAACTGCCAAAAATATTTTGTTTATGATCAGGGAATATTGTAAATGCATATGAAAAGTAAGAATTTGTATTTTGGTGTTTGTGGCCTGTTATACTTCACTAAATGATAATAGTGGAAGAACTAGGGATTAGTTTGGAGAAAATAATTTGTGATGTAAACTAATATGAACAGGGGGGAATTATATAAGAAGCGCAGCTAGGTGAGCAGTGCATAGACAAACATTTGCTCTTCAACATTTCATTCAGGAATATGTGAATGAGAAAGATTGTATTTATTTCAGAGAAAACTACATACAATAAAGTGTGTATTTTTGTATGCAGACAATATATTGGGTTTTTTCTATTTTTCTGTTCTTTTGAAAGGAGAGATATAATATGTATCTATTTGTATACTTGAGTATTTTTGTGTATGAGAATTATTTATATGTGGCAATATCATGACATATTGGTAGCGATATATAAATTAGGACCAGTTTATAAAGAGAATATGTACCTTAATTTGCAGGCAAGCAGTTCATTCAAATCAGAAGTTATTCGTCTAATGTTTGGTGAGGCTAACCCTCAGAATGTGGCTACTGCTTCGCATACTCATAAATGCACACACTGTTATGTACCATAAAAATATTTTTAATAAGAAGGGGGAATATCCAGGATAGATTTCAGCTATCAAGTTGAGAGTCCCAGGGTGATTAAATAGGGAAGCTGAACATTGCACATTTCAGGTAATACATAAGATGTGATCTATACATGTCCAACATTTTGTGACAATTCATAGTGGTTGTTCATATAGCAAAATGTTGAAATGCAAAAAATAAGGTTTATCTGCTGGTTGCTTAGTCAGAAAAAAATACCATTTTTTATTCTAAGTAACCAGCAGATAAACCTGATGTTTTGCATTTTAATATTGGAGAAATTTTGTTTAAAATTTTATTAATCTGAACAAAAATAATAAATTTTGTTCAGAATTTGGATTAAGCTATCTAACTGTACAGGTAGTTCTTGACTTGCAACCACGTTTGGGATTGGGATTTTGGTCACTGATATGGTTGTTAAGCAAATCATCACATGACCAGTATTTTGATCATTTTTGCTGTAAAGCAATAAGCAATAAGTGAATTCTGTGGTCATTAAGTGAAACCAGCAGGTCATTAAATAAATCCAGCTTCCTTTGTTGACATTGTTTGTTGGAAACCAGCTCCCCAAACCTGGGAAGGTTGCAAATTGCAATCACTTGACCCTGGGGATGGTGCAACAGTTGTAACTTTTGAGGACAAGTTGTACATTTTTTTTCAGTACCATCATAACTTCAATCCCATTAATTCAAGGATTGTACATTAAGAATTTCATGTAATTGCTATAACTTAGACAATGTCTTATATGATAGAGTTTTCTCTTTTTTTGTTGTTTCTTGTTTTGTCCATAGTTGTAATAAAGTCTATGTATTAAAAAGATATACAATAGTTTGGGTATTGTGCATTGTATTTTGAATAGATTAAAGGTAGGCAATCCATGAGTTAATAGAAGAGAATATATATAGCTCAGAGATGAACTATTGAGTCCTTGGTATTCTTTGAGCTTGCTACCTGACTAATATCTTCAGTGCTAAAAAGGAATGGAATTTGCACTCAGTTTCTATATGCCATTGTCAATGGGTAGGAGTATTGTTTTCTTCTTGGTAATTACTTGATTATTGTTTACTGCTTGGTTGTTTGGTGTTAATTGTAATGTTAATTCCTTATTTGAATCTTGATTGCTAGAGAGGAGGTGTTCTGGGGGAGTTTGTTTCCTTTTTAGCTTTTTTATTGTTTCCTAGGAAGCTTGGTATTCATACAAGTCTGCTATCAACAGGCCCATAGAGATAAACAACATTTGCACATCATTCAAAAGAGACTATAGGAACCTCCAATTCAGACAAACAACCAAGCAGTAAACAACAACCTAATCAAGAAACTACCAAGGAGAAAGCAACACCCCCACCTACACTGACAGGGCAAGCTACAGTATATAAGCTGAGAGCAAACCCCACTCCCTTCTAGCAGTAAAGATGTTATACATCTGCAACCAAACAACCAAGGTCAGAGAGCAGAAATGATTCCATAGTCTAGCATCTAATTTGAGACAACCCTTAAAATTGGTTCAAATCCATGGCTTCGTTTTTTATTTTCTCCTACTGTGTTATCTCATTCATTGAGAAAATATCAAAAACAGGCCAGAAATAAAATAGTGAAACTAGGTATTTCTCCTCAATTTTGGCTTTGGCCTCATTCAGTCCTGCCCATCATGCAATCCTCAATAGATTAACGTCAGGGAACTTAACAGGAGCTCTTAACAGGAGAAAGAAAAATATATATTGTCTATCCCTGGCAAATATTATGAATTGACCCAACTAATGCCGATAAGAATCATTACACGATTGGGTTTACCAATCTTTGGAACCTACAATGCATTCAGACTGAAAACAGTCTAGGAAATATGGTAGGAAGAAAGAATTAAGCTCAGTTAGCTTTATTGAGCAAGCAGGAATAGGGTCTTACTCTTTGTCCCTTTGTATCTATGGGAACATTTTGCTGCCACTTAAAGCTAAAGTCCTGAATATTTAATATTCTATTGTTTTAGAGTAATGCAGTAGTATTTTAGATAATATTCTTTTCCTTCGATAATATAGATTTATGAAGTGTATTTTGTAAACTAATTACATATGTTTAACAAATATCCCAGATGTTTAGTATTACATTGTATTGAATCTTTTAAAAGTTGGCAGTCTTGGTTTAGATTGTTGTTTTTATTAATTGTTTTCAATGTTGTATAGCCCTTATCTCTTAATTATCTTTTGCATTTTGATATTTTGCTTTTTTTGTAATGTTCTTATAATAAAAAATGGACTAGTTCAAAGTTCACCATTATAAATAACATTTGAATATGATTTGGACCTCGTGTCTGTTGGCAACTGTGTCACACAGTGATCTTTTCAGTGCTAAATATCAGAAAACATATGTCTCAATTCTCATAACATTCCAAATTTATTATATTTTTGCAATCTTATCCCTGAGATTTTTATACAAAAAATTTATCCTGAGTCTTACCATTTGTTTTATAACTCGTAGGCAAGATTGTAATACAAGCCTTGTGCGTGCCTGTTGGAATGAGCTCTTTACTCTAGGCCTAGCCCAGTGTGCACAGGTGATGAGCTTGTCAACTATCTTGGCAGCAATTGTCAACCATTTGCAGAACAGCATCCAGGAAGGTATGTATTATTTTAAAGACTAATTGTTATAAATTCAAGGATTTATAATTGTATGTATCACTCGTACATAAACATTTTCTGTGTTGATGGGGCAATAGTGGTGTCTACTTTTAATTCTACCCCTAATGTTGCATTTCCTCCTTTGAGTATACATATATTGATATCAGTTGTCTTCAAAGGACTGTTCCCATTCTTGGCAGAGGAATGGGCAATCATATTCCATTAGAATATGATAAAAGAAAAATTTACTAAAATGTATGTCTTCCAGTGATTCTGGGCAGCTTATAATAAACAAAGAAATTGCCATGAAATCAGTAAAGCAAGTATGACAGACCAAATGGCCTGAAGCAAAGTCTGTTTCTGTCTCTCCCACACCCCCTCTCTCTCACACACATACACACACACCTGGATGAAGACGCAGATTTTCACCCATCTTCTCAACAAGAACAAAGTGCCATTTGCCTCTTGGGAGATTCATTGGAAATAGAGGATCTGGGGTACAATAGTTGTGCAACAATAGAAACAGGAATTTGCCTGATATTCCTTATTTTAGTTTCGTCTCATATCTGGGATTAAGATATTACATATTTTTTCATGACTAATAAAAATCCTGCATGCTAAAACTGTAATGCTATATTACTATTTAATTGCAATGTATCTTTTTTTTTTCTTTTATAAAAATATATGGTGGGGTCTATTTCTGGCTAATGTACTTTGTTGTTTTAGGTTTAGAAGAATAAAAATAGCAGTTAATTTGATTTTATTTGTTAAAACCTTTCAAACTTAATTATAATAGACAGGTTCCGCCCCCCCAGCCAGGCCCTCAAAAACAACACTACTGATGTAGTTCCTCTGGTCAAGGAAAGAGGCAGGATATTCAGATGCCATGGAGAGGTAGGTGCCCTACGTTTGATTAAATGTAGGGCTCTTAAGATTTTCCATCATCCAAAGCTGAAGAGTATTCTAAACAGATTTGTATATGGAAACCAAAGGTAGTAGAGCTATTATCCTTACTGAAAATAGATAGAAGCTGTTTGATCTAATTGTGGTACAGTTAGTTTTATTTTAATGATAGTTTTTTATCAGCAGGAGTACATACAATAATTAAAAGAGTAGTTCTCTTGCGTTTAGTAGAAATTAAAGTCTGATAAAATAAGCAGTGTTATTATTACTACTTCCTAATTAAGAGAAATGAATGTTTTACATCCTGTTGTTTGCAGAATACTTAATTTGTAAACAATAGGGGTTTCCAAAATACAGTGGCTGAAAAGACATGCAGAATAATAAGGCAGAGTAAAATATTTTAAACATAAATTTAGAGAGTAGCTTTTTCAGTCCCAGAAGCTAGATGCATGCCAGATAGGCCCACTGCCACAAATGTTCTATCTCTTTCTCCCTTATTGATGTGCACCATCATGTATCACAGAATCAAAGAAGATAGGAAATCTTCATCTTTCCTCCCAGCAATATTCCTAGAGGTGTTTATTTCTATTTTGCTTTGCAATATAGAGCCATTGATTATTTTCCACTTTACTATCAGCCAGTATGGGGGAGAAATAGATAGGATTTTCAGAGATTCTATGAAAATGCTAAAATACATTAGAAGACAGGATTAGTCACATAGGACATATGAAAATGCAAATATCACAGAAAGAAGACCAGGAGAAAAACATTTCGTAGTGAGACCTTTTTATAAATCTATAGCATTTCAGTATTAATCTGTCTTATAATAGAGAAACATCAAATCTCTTAAATTTATAGAAGTTAAGTTTTACTACTCAAATCATTTTTAAAAAGAAAGGGCAATTCTCAGCAATGGTGTGAAGCACACACACACACACACACAAAAGAATAAGTCTGTTTTATGGATGGAAAGATCAAAGTTAGAAGAATTAAAGCCTTCCTGAGTAATTCTTGTTCACTTTTCCCTTACTATGAATGTTGTTTGAATATAATTCCTATGCCAGTTCAAGAAGACAGATATTCAAGAAGACTTTGTTCAAGAAGACATTGTTATTGTCAAATCTGCCTTTTTTTGAGTCATTGTCTCTTAGGTAAGAGACATAACAACTTCTTGCTTTATAGAAACTTAATTTTCCACTAAGTTGCACGTTTTCTGCACAAGCAGGCACTGCCAATCTGCAGTGCTTCAGAAAGAAAATTAGTACTGTTACATTATATTCACACACAATAAAAGGTCAGCATAGAAATTCCTTGTATAATCTTTGCTAATTTGGACTGAAACACTTTTACTAATGTCTTTTTAGAGAACATTTAGAGAAGGATGCTTTGGCAAGTGTTCCAACTTTATTACTTACTAAAATATTGATGAGCTTGCCCTTCAAGGCATAGTTTGAATTAATATAGCAGATTTATTGATTCTTGTTTTTTAGACAACAATTTCTTGTGTTTTCTAGTCCTTGTCACTGAAATTGAAAAACTGGTTTGACCCATAAAGAACATATAGGATCAGCTATGCCTATCTTAATCAGTCAAATCCAGATGTTTGAAAGTGTAGTATGAGTCCTATGTCTCTAAGGGCAATGAAATTATTTCAGCAGCACTCTGCTTTCCACAAAAGAGGTTAATTCTTTCTTCCCTACTCAATTCTTCTCTGATTAAAAATATGGTAATTCCAACTTCTATTTGATCATTATTAGACACTGTATGTTTCTCTATAGCCTTTGGTTTACTTTGTTTTATTTCTATACCATGTCCTTTCTTTTTCCCTTATCTACTGCTTGATTTTTTTCTTCATCGTCTGCATTTTTAACAAAAGGGTAAGTCTCTGCTTCTTTTTATTCACTGCAATTGAGCATTATAAAAATACGTACTTCAAACTACGAAGAAGAAGAAGGTTGTTAAGCTGCTAATTCCATTTGAAAAAGCAAGGTTTTTTCTTTCCATGAAGGAAATGTAATATGTGAAACAGCTATCTAAATGATTATATCCTGAAGAAGGGTTTATTTTTGGTTGATTTTCTAAACCTTCTTTTAAGAGAACATATAATGTTTACTTCTAGATAAACTTTCTGGAGATCGAATAAAACAAGTGATGGAGCACATCTGGAAACTCCAGGAGTTTTGTAACAGTATGGCTAAACTTGATATTGATGGATATGAATATGCTTATCTTAAAGCGATAGTCCTCTTTAGTCCTGGTAAGCATTTAACAATTATTTTATTTCAGTGTGTGTCTTTAATGCTGTTTAGATGCTTTAATACTCTGACACTAACTAAAACAGTAAATAAATTGGCAACACATTTTCTAATACATTTAATTTGGGATTAAAATATTTATTTTGACCTTTTAACTATTCATTTCAATGAGACTTACTACTTAACTACTTAAATATGATAGTTAAATTTGATATATTAGTGAAATACTTTCTTAAGAGTCATATGTCAAATGTTTCCTTTTATTTTTCTTTAAATGATTTGGCAGGCAGATTCTGTGGATAGAGCAAAATATGGAAGACTGGTGAATAATATTTCCCAACTATAGTCCCAAACAGAATGTCATAATAAAGAGAATTGTAGTAGATGACCAAGATGAACTTGAGGGAGGGGTCAAATGCATCATCAGTCTGGAGTCCCTTCACATCCACAAGAGACCTAGCTGCCAATTTCCTTTCATTAGTAGTTCAGATTCTTGAAGAAAGCTTAAGTTTGCAATAAACCCTTATATACGTTTGAACTGCCTGAGTTTCCTGATTTCTGCACTTGACATGGATATAATTTTTAGGTTTCAACATTTATCTTTTCCTGAGCTAGAGAACATCTGGAAATTATATTAGTTGGCCCCATTATTGATTTCAGCCTATCTGGGATTTAAAGACACTGTTTGTAAGACGATTTAGGTTTTGCCTGTCAAAGAACAGTTATCTTAACAGGTGGTCCAAAGTGGCTTATTCTTTGTCTTAACTTTTTTAAACAAAACAATCACCCCCAAATAGTGGGAACAGCAAAAGTCTACTAGTGAAGAACTATTTTCCAATAAGCAATGAGAAATTGAAAGGTAAATAATTATTAAAACAGATAAGTCTCAAAAGCCACCAAATGTTCTTTGTAAATCTGGTTTAAGGTATAGATTATCTTGATGAGTTGTACATGATTTGTGTTGTAGAACCACAAATCAGCATTTAAATGTTTCTATATATTCTTAAATAGATTGAAATACTTTCTTAATAAGTTATAATTGAGCTACTATATGCTGTAATAGATAATTACACTAAAAAAAATTATTTGAGGAATGTTAATATATGGTCAATAACAGTGGGTCCTGAAGGATTGGAATGATCTGCTAGTTACCAAATGTTGTGCATGATAATTGGCTTATGTTTATGACCAGCTGCAGTATACTGTGGTCCTGTGATCATAATTTCTGATTTGTATATTTTTTGCATAGACAATATGTGCTAGAAAGCTAGAAAACAAAACAGAATTGTTAGTAGATGATGGTATACATTATCTTTGGAAATTTTGGAATAAAGCATTTTAAAAAAAATATTACTGTATTTTTCAGTAAAAGTAAACAAATGATGAAATAATGTATTTAACTTTAATAGATCACCCTGGTCTTACAAGTTCCAGCCAAATCGAAAAATTCCAGGAGAAAGCTCAAATGGAGCTGCAAGACTATATTCAAAAAACGTATCCAGAAGATACTTACAGGTATTATAATATTATATTGTGGTTTGTTTAATTCTAAAGGTTTTATTTACTTGATTTAGTTTGTAAGGTTTTGTTTACTTGCTTTCATGTGATCTTTATTTTCAGTTCCTAGATAATTTTTGAAATAGACTTCCATTGGATTGAATTATAAATAATATATTTACTTTTAGTCAAAAAACAATAACAGGACAAAGTGCTTAATGATATATACTTGAGTTATTGAACAAACTTGACTGTTCAGAAGTGAGTTCCATTAAATTAAATAGAAATAATTTCAATCAATCAAGAAAGAAAGAAAGAAAGAAAGAAAGAAAGAAAGAAAGAAAGAAAG